TTCATTCATTTCTTTGAGAAAAATGTCAGTTTGTAACAGAACAAGCAGTAAATAATGCAGTCATTCTCCAGACTCTGAGTGAGAGTAGATACATTGAGGATGCATATATTCAAAACAACAACATAGCAACAAACCTGATGATTCCTGAACTTAAGAATAACTGGATGGGAAAGGTTTGTCAACTGGATCCCTCCTGCAAACAATGTTATGCGAACACTTTGTCAAAACTCTTTTCTTTAATTTTTTCTGCTCTTGCTTCTAATATTGAGTTGGCTGGTTGCTTGGAATTTCTTCCATACAGTTGTTGTCTCTGTGATAACTTGGGTTTAGGCATTAGATAACAAGTTATAATTACTCACCAAACTGAGCTGACATTACACTACTGGACACTTCTCTCTTTTTTTCAGTTTCACTTCCATTGGTAATTTCTGGAAAAAGTTTACTGTTGGAGTAGACGATAAACTGAAATTTTACATTCACATCTGATGGAATTTGCTGGAACAGTGATGGTGGAAGATAGATGGAGGTGTCGACCAACTGCAAATTAAAATGAATAAAACAATATCTTTTTTTAAAACTAAGCCTTTGAACTTTATACAACAGATTTTTGGCTTGTACAGATGATGTAACAATAATATCAAACAACTTCACTACAAGTCTAGGGAAATTCAATAGGTTAACTTCCCTGTACTACAAATACAGGCTACCATTTTTCTAGTCTAATGTGGTAACAATATCTGTGTCATTCACCCAACACATGGATATCTAGAGGTTTCAGTTATAATGGAATGCAGGCAAAATGTTGTGGTTAAAATCTCTCTAGGGTGGGAAATAATTAATCATGAACAGAACCAACTGGTCTGAATTTTACATTTAAGAAATAACAATCATGAAGAAACTCATAAGAAACAAATAAAAGACATAAATTGTATTAAATGTCATTTGGGCAATCAATGAACATGTTAACTTAAAAACCATTTTCAAACTGATGTAAAAAGTGTTGAAAATTGAAAAGTGTTGATCTTTTTAAAACTTTAAAAAACATTTAAATTTAAACACTCTCTGATGCCTTTTTAATGAAGGCAACAGAAATAATACAGAAAATTTAGTTTTTACAGTTTTTCTAAGATCATAAATACCACCTTTTAGCTCAGTTTCAGAAATAGTTTTTAAGTTAAAAGACATAAGTGCAAATGATTAAAAGCAACAATCCCCCATCCTGATTTGCTCTGAGGAGGGCTAACCCCAGGAATGTCAGCTGATTTTAAACATTGATTGAGCATTTTATTGTGTTATAAGTTGTGTTGTTTTATTGTTTTATAAGTTATATTTTCTTTTCACAGTTAAAAAAAAATGGCTGTTTTACTATGTTGTTTGCAAAGTTCACCATGAAAAATTTAAATTACATGTCTGAATACATACCATTTGCTTCTTACAGGACATGTTGTAAACACAAGGTAAGCAGTCGATGTCCTTGAGCCTGGAGTCCTCCCCTGTTGTCACGTAACACATCTTACCAGCAAGTTCAAATATTTGTGAGATCTGTACTACATAAACTGCAATATTCTTTGATACAAATGCCATATCACTTTGAAGATCCATAGGAAATCTTGTGGCAAGTAGGTCAAGAAGAATCACCATGCTGTAAAGAGGAAATGCAAAGCAATATGTCACATTTACATGTAAATGTGTAGAGAGCAGTTAAACTTTATCAGAGGTCACTTTTCACCTCAAACCTACATGTAAATAAGGTACAGAAAACAATATTTTAGATGAAAATTCAAACCTCTTGAAAAAAGAATTTTATGTACTTGTAAATAACTACATTGTAATTAATCATGTAGTTATTTTGAAGTATATTTAATTATTAAAATCACTTTCCCAATCTTGAGCTTTGAATCTCATTATAGTCATGAATACTAAAACACACAGTTATTTGTTAATTGATAGGAAACTTCTTGCAGTCACATTATGGTTACTATAAGTATATGTTATACAACACATGCTGTCCAATTTGGACATAATAATTATTGGATTAGAAAAATTCAGGGGACTACCAAAATTGGATGAGGCTGCAGGCCAAGTGTCTTTTCTTTAAGATATTTTATTTAACTTAAAGAAAAGACACCTCAAATACATGAACATAATTTTGGCCAATTTCAACTTCAAGACACAAACCTTGAGCAAGCCTTTGATATTCGCTGTGCATCTTGTAACAATATTACATCAGTTTCCATGATGTTACTTATGGTATCGACCAGATTTTCATTGAGCTGCAATGATGCATAAGGCGCATTAGTTATAAAATTATGATTTTAACCTTGATCATTGGCAAAAGCACCCAGCAATATAGGCTCTATGAAAAGCCATTACCGTTAGAAAATACAAAATGCAGTCTGGACGTGACGAGTTTCAGAAATCAGATGCTGTGGTGACTACAGAGCCCCCAGTAAGCTTTTGAACGTTTGAACTGTGGCTTTGGAGAGGCAGGATGAGAAACAAAATAGTTTCTACTACTGCCAACAAAACATACATGTAAAGTGTATAAATCTAGAAGTTGTTACATGTACAAGCAATTTCCAGTTTATAAAGTTTAAAATTTTATTTGTGGTATTAATATTCCCTAGGGAACAGCACTAAGTGAAAAACCAACAATGGAAACAGAGCAGACTTATACGTAACACTGCCTTTGTTGGAGTTTATGATCAACCTACACAGCACCAATAAATGCTGATAATCCTTATACTCCCTAGAATATTTGAGAACTGTAACTCTGTTACACTATGAGCAGCAATAAAACTTTAATGGTTCAGGTATTATTTGAACAATCTAATGACCTTCAGGCTAAATACTGTGCATGCCCACTGTTCAACTCTCTGAGCTACATGTACTAAGCCACAATGGGAATAGCATATATGTCTTGAGTGACTCCCATTTGATCCACTTACAATGTTACATTAAGGTGGCTTGAAATAGTTTTATCGCACGTGCAGACTGGGTTCTAATAGCATGCATGAGTCATAAAAACCCACGAAAACCCACGAAGCAATCTAAACAATATGGCGTCTGTGGTGTATTTTGGCCTCCTTTTTGAGTGCTGCTTTAAAGCTAATGGGCAAATGTTATTAATCAAATTTTCTTCCATCTATCAGGAATTTCTCTTCCTTGGTTAATTCCTCACTTCAGCATTACGTTTGCATCACTTCCACTCGCAGCAACTCTCATAACAACGATTGTAGCTTTCCTCAGTTGCACACGGATTTACACAGCTCGCAAGAGTTGCTTATTTATTTTTTTTGGGCAGCTCTCATACAGAATGTGTTGGAGAGGAAACGTCCAGTGAAAGTAAAAAAGAGGTAGACAGAAAAACACGTAAAACACATCTCATGAAGATCGATAGTTGAAGCTCGTGACATGTTTAGTCGCGTTTCTTCATTTGGCAAAATTCAAGAGCTAAAACTAAAACAAAACAAAAAAAATTGCTTGAGTAATTAATTTACTCAAAGGCCATATGGTGACAAGAAAACTTCAGTTTGATGGGGACGAGGAAAGAGGGTACAGCACTAGCGACAAATGCAAAGTGTTTTTGTGAGATATATTGCAAGCTTATTTGTTTTGTTTACTTTTCAATTTTCAATGCACTGGTAAGACCGACCATGTGAGGTTTGAAATTAAATGAAACCATTACAAGCGCTCGTTTATACATTCAAATAAAATAAAGATGTGAACACTGCAGTTGTAATGGTGATTTAAGCAATTGTTAATTAGGCATGAAAAAGTTTTTCCGGACTTGAATGTTCTCGAATAACAAACAACATTAGACAAGAGAACATTTCTTGCATTAGATAGATATAATGGTTTATGCAAACTTTACCCGCCTGATTACGTCACTTTTTTTCTAATCCATAAGAAGATTGACAGGAAAAAATTAATATCTCCTATTCACAGAAAAAACAAACAATTGGCACTAACAGCTGGAAGATGACATTGCATCATTCCCTTTCCTTTGCCAACTGTTCCGCATGCGTGGACTCGATTGAGCGCATGAAAAACTTCATGCATGCATAAACACAGATCTTGTCAACTGAGAATTTTTCCTCATTTTCCAAATTCGCTCATCTACATCACCACTTCTGGCAATTGGCTGCATATACATACCAATTTTTAAAAAATTCTGCAGAAAGGGAAAAAAAATTAAGAAACCAATAGTTGAAAAGTAGTTTTTTCTTTATTACCTGCTCGACAGAATTTTTTAAAACTTAAATATTTTGAAGATCATTTCTGATAACATCTAATAAAGGAGTTTGAGAAGATTTCATCCACATGTTTTCCAAATAAGACAATAGAATCCAATTTTGAGTGCACAACTGTATGCATAAGTCGTATGGTTGCCATGGTAACAGGTTTTGGGGAAAAACATGATGAAATGAATCTATGATTTCTCTTTCTTTCATTTCTGTGGTAAATTTCATGCTGGTATGATGAACTAAACTGTATTTAGAAGAGAATTTGTAAAACTTGTGTGCCGAAATGAGAACTATTTCAAGCCACCTTAAGTAGGTGTACAGGTAATTCCTGCAAGAAACTTACAACTTGATCTCTTCCGATGACTTGTGCCAACTTGTCCACAACTTCAGCTCCATATACAACATCTAAGGGATCACTGTACTCCCTTGCTCGTTTTGAAATGTTCAGTATCTGATGACTGACTGCTGCGACTGTTGTATCATTTACTGTTTTCTGGTAAAAAGAAAAAGAATTTTTATATACATGAACTGTACTTTTCAAACCAAGTTTGTTTGGGGAGTGTAGATCAAAGGCAACAGGCAGCTTAAAACTTTGAGACAGCCCTGCTGCTATTGTCCAAAGACCATCTACTTTTCTCCAAATGCAATAATAACTGGCCTGTTGTAAGAAAAATATTCAATTTTTAAATGTTTGTCATAACATGACCATCCATCCACCCCTCCAGATATAATCTGTATTATTATTATTGTTGTTTCTGAGATGTTTTCAAAGACCTGACAATGGACCTTGCCAACAACACTAATCAAGACTGGTGGTAACTATTATCCCTCACCTGCTTTAACTCATAGAGAGCACGAGTTATCTCATTAGCATGGGCACATGACTGTGCATCCACTGCCATCCAAACACCTTCTAAAGAGCAGTTTCGCCTGGCCATAAGTTCAGTTCCCCCATGATCTATCAAGCTGCTCATTACACCAACAGGGCATGGCAAGAAGGCATATCCCCCAGCTGCTGTGTGGTGCCAGTGAAACGTTCCCTTGTCTGTTTCTGTGGAAACTGCTCGGCAGAATTTTGCGTTAGATGGGATGATGGCCAGATGAGATCTACTCAAGTGCAGGTAGCCTCCTTTGTGAGTGACATTGCAGCTGTAATATCCACTGTCATCCACAGTAAGTTGCTGAATGTCCAAAACAGTAGAGATCACCACTTTGCTAGGATCAAACTTAAACACAACATGTTTCCTTTTGTCATCTGGCTCGACAGTAATCAATTTATTGTCCTTGTACCATGTGATCTGCATACCAGGAATCCAGGAAGAGTTGCATACAAAGGTGTGACTGTCTCCCTTGAATGCAATTTGGTCACCTTGAGGGCCAAAAAACATGACTGGCAGGTCAAGTTTGTCTATGAAAAAAATTGAATGGCAAAAAAATTAGTTTTCATCTTGGTTACAGTTAAGGGAGAGTTCCCTACTTTCCAGATGACCGTATCTTGTATAAATAACTGTTTTACTGTCACAAATTATGAGACAGAAAGTGCCAAGGGTTGAAACAGTGATAAAATGCAACTGCACTTCCTCTGTAGTAATGCCCACAGCATCTCAATGCTGCAATTATTATTACATTTTGTGGTTCCAGAAAATATCCATACCCCCACCACAGAGGGAATTGGAAATTCCAAAGGGGAGGGGTTTCAAAGACCCAGGAATTTCTGGAGGGGATTGGTCGGACGGTTGACTAGGTTTCCAGATCTCCTTTGATTCAATACGATTCAAGTATTGATCTAGCTGTTCAAAAATCCTTTCCTACCTACCAAGTAGAACTTTCAGATGAAAAAATAGTGGCTTGAATACCGGTACTTGTATTTGAATTGCATTATATTTGAAATACAATTTTCTTTCTTCAAAAAGCACTTTGGAAGCTAACAAAAGCCAAGAATGTGCTGTTGTGTGGAAATAGCCACCATTAACTTGTGGACCGAAAATCACTAGTGACTAGCCTGGTTTGTTTTCCCATCGCTCTTAATTCGAAGGGCTCTTCAAAGTGCTAGTTGATTTCTTTCGTGAAAAGTACTATCTTTATAAAAGAAGAAATGATTTTATGATCGAAACTGGAGAATTTCTTATTCTTGTTTACCTCTGTTCATTTGTATGTAATTTTGCTGTAAAATTGGCTGTCATCATGAGCGTGTTTGCGATCATGTTCACAATAAAAGTATGGTGTCAATTTCATCCACACTCATTTTATCAGTCCTTCAANAACCTCAATGCTTGGCTAGTAAAAAAGATGTTTTTGGCTAGTAAGTTGAAAAGTTAGTGTCGAGCCCTGGCCATTATCTATTTTCTTTTAGAGCATGTTTCAATAAATTGCCAAATGTTTTCTTTGTGTGTATCTTCAGATGTTACTATTGATCAAGAATATTAACAGTGACGTGCAATGCAGATGGCTAAATGTTTGGAGTGTTTACTTTAACTTAAACACCCTTTCTCGCCAAAACTATTTCTTCCAGAGAGTATGGAGAGTGTACAAAATAGTAGTGGAAATTCCAGAGGGGTTGCAGGGGGAGTAATTTTTGTGGTCAAAAAATAGAAATTCCAGGGAGGAAGGGGAACTTAGGTGAAATTCACTCCTTGGTGGGGGTTTGGATGTTTTCTGGAACTACACATTAGCTGATTTGGGAAATAGAGAATCACAGTCATGTCACAAAATCAGCTTCTTACCACACACCATCTTGTTCTCTTTGAGTTTTGCAACTTTGTTGTCCTTCACTCTGTAAGGACGCTCACACCTGCCTTGCACATTCCGGTCTTTTCCTCCATTTATCCATTTCACCAACCATTTGAGATTACAGTCACAGATTAGAGGATTAAGATCAAGCTCTCTGAAATCAATAAGTACATTTAATAATCCACTAGAATGTAATGAGAATATGCAGCAATGTACAGTGTGTATTGGAAACTAGAAAATACCAGCACTTTAGATACTGATATATCATTAAGTTTAGTTCCTACTTGAAGAACATTTTCTTTGAGGTATAAATGAAAGAAAAACAGTACATTAAAAGCAATTTTTTATGTCCTTGTGATTCATCAAGTACCAGCAAAGAGTACATCACAATTTACCCTCTTCAATTCAAAAGACCCTTTTAATGCATTATCACAAATTCATTGCAAGGATTTCATGGTTAACTCTTTTAATGTACATGTACTGGTATTTCTATTAGCTTGAACTTTACAGTACAGATACTACTGTGTACATATATTTTGCCATATAGTTCAAGGGATGACGTTGACAGCGTATTGTCAATTAATAATGTTGCCCCAAAAAAGACAGCAAGCTTTCAGAGACTGGGCTTTACAGTAAATCAGATTCTATACACTTGGGTTGTGGCTTTGTTGACTTTGTTTTCTTCGTCTTCACTAAATGCTTCGTGCTTTCACTCAGCTGATGACGAGAAGGTTCTACCACTTTACTAAGCATATCTTTGACAGCTTCATGCTCAGCCATTACATTGTTATGCATCACCAAAATGACTTTGTCAAAGGTCAGAATCAACTGGCGCATAAACTGCACAAGTTTGTGAATGTTATCCTCGATCCGGGTCATTGTATACTTTAGGGTTATTATCATCTTTGCTCTGCCGTCATCTGATAAATTTCCTTCCTCCACCTGAGCAGTTATAAATTCAACAGCTTTTTTCATGACATTGCAAATCTTCACCAGTTCCTCAAGGACTCTGTTTAAGTCACACACCACATACCACTGCCCATTGCGAATTGCTTCAATTTGCTCCATAGCTGTAATTATTTCTTCTTTTCAGTGTTTCCCTGATTTGTTCAAAGTTTAATTAAGCACACAACAAGTGGAACATTAAAGCTTACAGTATGTTTCTCACAAGGAAACTGCCCATATTTCCCTTTTCAGGATTAAAAATTAACATATCTAGCCTTAAATTTTTTAAAAATTATTTATTATTCATCATTTCAAACTGGATTTGACCATACAATAGCTTAAAACCTATTTAAAAATGACCTGTCAACTTTCAAGATCAAAATGGTATTTTAGACATGTATGCAAGGATATAGACATTGTTTTCACTACAGAAGACTAGACTACAGAGATGATAATTTTTTGAACAAGTGAATCAAAAGTACTTAATAAATATTCTCATGATTATTATGCAAAACATGTCTTTTCCACATCTGGAGTTGTTGTCCACAAAATGCTGATATGAAAACAACATACATTTGTATACATGTAGTAATTGTCTTTTCTGAGAAAAAAATTAATGTAAACTTGCGATGCCATCATCTGTTATTGATAAAATGGACATCTGCAATTCTTGTCATTTGTTCGGCTGCAAATTTAACCAAAATGAGCAACATTGCTGTGTACTCACATTTTCCTTAAGTCTCTATAAAGGGAATTAATAAATAATCCATCAGGAAGAAGTTTGAGCTTATTGGAAGACAGGTCTCTGCAAGAAAAGGTGTCAAAATTTTAGAACAACAGATTGAAGAGCTGACCTTGACCATTTGAAGGGTGCAACTGACGTGTACATATATACAAGAACTTTAAAAAATCAAGAACAAACTAGAAGTTAACCACTACATTTAGTAAATAATGAATGTAAAAGATGCTGTACAGATTACATGTAAGAGGAAATTAAAATATTAGCCCACAGTTCACTGTTCAGGGCCAAGTTCAAAACTTGCAATAATTATAATGTTGTGAACTTGATAACCATCATGTTAACTAACATTTTTATAATTTACAGAATTTGGTCTGAAAAATGCTCCTGACCAGTGATTATATGAATCTTATCCTTATATCCAGAAGCAGTGCAAAGAACCTGAAACCTTTTTCAGTGGAGTTCCACAAGGCTTTTTCTATTTACATGTTAGTGCCATTCTTTTTTACTCTGTCCTCCCATCCCTTCTCCCATGTTACTCCAGGACGACACCTTGTAACATGAAAATCAGGATCTGCCACTAAATTCAACTGTTTTTTAGAAATAATGTGTTTTCTTCACTGATATAATTTAATTCAGTATCAACGATTTATTACTGAGAGCAATCTGTTCATAAAGAAATCAATCATCTGCTCAATTCATTCATGAATCAATCATCCTCTCAATTCATTCATGAATATGTCAGACTTAGACTTGAACTTAGGACCTCAGAAATTACACATAAAGCATGGTAAAACAATGAACCAAGGACAGCACAGCTAAGTCATGGAGTGTAAAAGAACTGTACATTAAAACAATATTTCTCTGTCTGGTGAGAAGATTAATTATTTTGATGGATAAATGAAATATTTGATGTCCTATTTTTAATCTCTCTTTGTTTTTTTAACAACTTTTCAACCATTTCGATTTTGATTTTTCACTTCTTCATAATCATGGTTGCCATTATCATAATCTGGTATAAATATTTTCAACCCAAACTGTTTAAACCACAACTTATTCATCTACCATTTAAAGAGCTCTGCTCAGATCAAGAGAAATGAATTTGTTTTGTTCACTCTTAAGAATCACAACAGACCTCTCTAAAAATCATCAGGTTCACCTGAAAAAGGAACAATTTCATTCCCTTTGTATAAAAGATATACTTTATAACCTTACATGGTTTTAAGATTCTTGCATCCATAAAACTGGGTTTTATTTAACATGAACAACTGGTTGTTTGACAAATCACTGAAAAATACAAACAAAAGAAGATTTCATTAATGCCGCTATAATTGGCAATGAACAAACAGTTAAACTGAAAAACGTTATCATAAATACATTATCAGTAATTAATACATGTAGCATAATCCAGTGAGGCTGACTTGGCAAACTCACAATATGATTGGCTACATGGTCACTACATGAATCTGGCACCAAGAGCTGGTCAAACTTTGAAAATGGCATCAAGCTTACACATTTTTGTACATGTACATTTGTAGACTTAAGAGTTTTCTTAAGTTTTTGAAATGAATTTGATAGATATCTGTCATTGGGTTATGCTGAAACAATTACGTTCTTAGAGTGTGGATGTTATTTCTGTTGAACATGGCCATAAATGATTAAGTAATATTTAATATTACCTAAAGTAAAACTCTCTGGAAACAAGTTTTATTATTACTCTATGTTCAGTACCCAGTAGATCTGCCATGTTATGCTGAGACAATAACAGTAAGTACTACTGAAATAGGTAGAATGCTNGCTACACTAGAACTATAAAATGGCTGTTAATGGTAAATAATGTAAATTATCATAATATAAATTATCTAGATGGAAGAACTCACATGTTTTTGATGTTTCTCAGCTTTCCAAAGACACCTTCATTAAGAACGGATAATTTGTTGTTGCTAAGATCACTGAAATGCAAGTTAGAGTAAATTTATCATACACAATAAATGTTAACAATGGAAAAATGAGTAAAAGATCATCATGCAATGGTTAGCTTTCTTTTTTATCAGAGGATAACCAAGATTAAACAAAAACAACAGTTTTGTGTCACTGCATCTCTTAGGAATTCAGGTGATAAAAACAGGTACATCAATGCTAACCCTCCAGGAGTCTCCTGGATACAGGCCAAATCTCCTGGTCTCCCATACGGATCACTTAATCTCCCAAACATAAAGAAAAAGTGCTTAAGTAGTTTTTTGCAGATATTTTAGCCGATTTTTGGTGTTTTTTAGAGAAATTTTTCTGAGATTTGATGCATTTATGTGGATAAATTGGCAGAACTCTACATGTAATTTAAACAAGACTGTTTTTGGTTAAGAAGGTGATTAAAAATTGCTGATCTCCAGGATTTTGTGTTTTTATTTTTAGGTTTTATTTCTGCAAATTTATACATGTATCAGAACTAGAAGGATATGCAAAATCTAGATATTGAACCAATTTTGGAAAGACATTTGGACAATCTCTCTTAAAAATTGATGATGGCAACTTTTACAGATATTGAAATGGGTGTGAGTAAATATTTTACCATGCTATACAATGTTGACATTTTTTTCAAAACCTAAATAAAATCTTGCACAATATACATTGAATTATTCCCCTGATATTTACTAGACTGAATTTATACTGATTAGATCAAATAATGGCAGTGAAAGCAAAGCTGTTCGTATGGCAGTCACTTGACATCAATTATTATGAGTAACTGGTCACAAGACCATGTTACTCAAGTCCGAACCAAACATCATAAAGTTAAAGTTCTGCTAAAAAAAGCAATTTGTCTAAGAGTTTTAACGATATGGCAATTCAGTGTCTAAACAAATGTTAAAAACTGTAAAATAAGCCATGACCTCAAAAAAGGAGGCAACAAAAAGATGTTACCCATAATACACTTATAGGAACATATGTTTCATTGTAAGTGTGGGGGTGGGGGTTGGGGGATAGAATGATCATGAGTAAGCACCTTTCAATTTAGTAACATTGAATTGTTGGCTTTATGACCTCTTGTATTACTCTTAATCTCAAAATGAAGTTGCCAGTATTGTGTTCACCAATGTTATTGGAAGATCCCATAATAGTGTCCATGTTTTTGCCTGTGGAGTTGAATTTGTTTTGTATTAGTGACCACACCCTTTTCCACATGCCCAGCTTATCTTGCAAAACATCTGAAACAGGGGAATAATGGTACAAATTATTTTAATTAAAGGTTGCTGTACAATATTTGCTTTGCATTTTTCAAGAGTTAAAGAAAACTAATCATTTAACTTACATCCTTGTTAATTTATTTAATCCAGAAAACGCATCTGGTGCAATCATTTGAAGTCTATTGCCAGACAAATTTCTGAAACAAAACAAATTATAAGAGATAAGGATTTGCGAATAAAATCTTCACACGCTCACTGTTCCCAACGGAAGTGCAAATAAAAAATATGTAAATATATATTGCAAAGAAATTAAGGTAGATGTAAGCTTAATTGTGGGAAATGGGAACTTTTACTCGATCAAGGCAGTCAATGTTCTTTGTGTCGACTGATGAGTTCTATCTGCAGTTGATTTACAACGTCTGGCGCGCAGAAAAATATGCCCATTGGGATAGCCAGTAAAAAAAAAACGATAAACAAGCTTAAATATAAAGATTGTTTTCAAAATAAACTGATGCATACTGGCATAAGATACATTTCTAACAGCGGTTTTATCTCAAGAGACAACCCGAGAAACGCCCAGAATCCGATCGGAAGGAAATCAGAAATTCCTTTCAAGCTAAAGAACGGAATCGATATCTCAAGATTTTTGTAGAAAGAGGTGTGTATATTAAGTTTTTGGTACAAACTGATATTGGCCTCTATTAACTATAGTACATATCCATTGCGTTCTATTTTAAGCAATCCCGAGACGCATTACAAATTGAACAATGAAAACTACTCGCAAAATAACAAAAGGATCACTTTAATGTGGATGCATATTAAAAACATATCGTTCATGTGTAGTTCATTGATTCATAAAACTAATGAACTGACTTTTCACGCCCTAAAAAGATCAAACTTACAGTTTTCTAAACTTTGTTAGATTTTTCCTTTTGAAGGCATTGTTTACGATGGTTTCTATCGCATTATTTGACAGATCCCTGCAAGGGAGACACAATTAGGCAAAACACATCAATATTCTGAATAGATGAAAATTATTTATGCAAGACTTACCTTCACATAAGCTTATTATAAGCGCTGCTGGCTATTACAGAGCATTCACACTTTGAGCACAACTCATAACGAGGTTAAAACAAGACACCAAGTATAACAGACAGAGATGAAAAAGTGAATATGTCAAATTAGCTATACAGCATGACCTTATACTCACAGTTCGAACGTGTTGGCAGGGAGATCATTAGGGTTGATTGGCGACTTCAATCCCTTATTCGCACAGTTCACTAGTAAGCCATTTCCTTTATCTTCACACTCGCATTCTGGCGGGCAGTTTAATGAAGGGCCGACTCCACATCCAAACCACAACAGCAACACAAAGATGAGATTTGTGAGCACTGTTTTCATTATGGCGCGGGGTGACAGTGACAAGGTTTGCTGTTAGGTGACTGATGAACGAAGAACACACGCCTTCTCCACCAACATAAATGAGGCACTTCAATTAATTCGTGCTATATCTTTTCGAACATATTTTAGCAGGATTCCCGGCGCTACAATCTTGTAAACAACCTTACATGCTTGACTCACTTGACCGTCTTCCACTATAGAATCAGGAAAGCGAGTCATTTGCATTTTCAATCAAGGTCAATGACAAAATACTTCCCAGGGGACTCCCATTGACATATTTCGTACGAACTGTAAAGCATTGTATTTGTCTTTAAATTCAGTGCAAGTTTAATATTAGAAATAAATGAGTTAACGTTCGTACAGTAACATTTAAAATGAATCCAATAATGCACTAAAAATTTTCAAAATACCATTACTATGCGAAAGTGCACTACGGTACCCTGGCGGGTAACATATTGCCACTACTGGTGGATGGGTAAGGTTTTGCAGTCTTCCTCACGTGGGAAGGATTTGAAAATGGCAGCAGCGAGAGTTTTGGTTTATGGCGGAAAAGGAGCTCTCGGAGCAACCTGTGTGTCCTATTTTAAATCCAAAGATTGGGTAAGGACAACCTTATAACTTTTGATATGCACCATGATCATTATTTTGGAAGGGCTCGAAAAAGCGCGCCAAATTTCTGCTTGTGGTTGTGAGGGTTCTGGAGCTTACAGCAAGATCAATGATCAGCTTCTTATATTCGCTCAAGAGCGTTTTGGATAAAGTTTTGTTGTTGTTGGACACGAGGACGTCAATAAACGTAAATGACATTATAAATCTTACATTAAGTAAGAGCTTTCGGATATGATGTGAAACCAACATTTATAATGCATTTTCTTATCAATCTTGCTGTGAGGCTCCATAAGCGTACTGGGTTATTGCAAAATGAGCTCACTGAGTTTCATCGATCGAAAAACTCGTATATTTCTTAGTGTATCAGATAATCGATAAGCTATCAGTTTGTAAGAAAGGCACATTGATAGCTCATCCATGTTTCAAATATTGCACAAATATCTCAATATTCTGTGGACACACAGACCCCACAGGGTCACGTGTATGCCTTGTTCTTTACCCGACAAGCATAGCACCGTCTATGCATATATCGCTATTGTTCCAGTGATTTATGTTTTTGTGGGTAACTCGGTCGTGTTTTTGGTTTTTAAAATAATTACTTTTTTTTTGAAAATTCAGACAAAGTAGAAGTCTTGAATTTGGTGTAAAAAAATAATTTCGGACAAAACAGGCCCTTGAAGGTCTACAGTAACTTCAACAACTAAAATAGTACTCTTAAGGCTACAAACAATAGTTATTGAGCATAAAACAGCATAAGTAACATGGTAAAAACATGTACAATGTTGTGCATGCAAAATTTGTTGCAGAAGCGCATGCCATACATACGTACACAAGTGTCCTATATCACATGTGCACAACTTAATTGTTGTAGCTATAGACTGTGAGCAGTCCCTCTTTTGCTCAAAAATCCGTGGGGAAGAACGCAAATCAAGTGAATGTGCGAGCGTGACTACAAGCGTGACATACGAGCGAAAGAAAATCTGTCTGAGTCAAGAGAGCTTTCTCTCAAGCAAAGATGGTGGCGTCCTTTGCCAGTGATACTTGACAACTGTATCATGCTGTATGGAAGATGGGTGCCTGGGATATCCAGGGGCCTCCACTGTGACCAGCCAGCCCCTAGACAGTATAATGCTCCCATGGCAGGCATTGCCTGCAACCCAGCCATGAGCCCCTACGTAGTCTTCCAGGCACCCTTCACACTGAGTTAACAATGGAGACGGGGAGGGGAGGGGGGAGGGGTGCAGAAAGACGTCAACGAATAGACCAAAGATGTGCAGGAAACTGCTCAATCCTACGGCCAAAACGTTCGAGGGAACCCCAGGCTGGAACACACTATTAATGGCGAAGTGCACTGAGCTTGCAATACCATACGAATACCACTGTCCAGAAGTACCAGCTACTCTTTGTTGTTAAGGTGGCTTAACACAGTTTCTCGGAAACTAGTAGCACATGCTATGATTGCTTGCCAGACGTCAGTATTAATTGTGCATGCACAAATGATGCAAGCAGCCCTAAGAAGAAACAAAAAACACTTCAACGCTTGAAAGGTGTTAAATCACTTCAGTATACATGGCAATAGTTTCAAACTCCATTCAAACATGTGTTTAAGCCTAGGGCCAAAAAATATGACAAAAAAAACTCAATAAACAACTGGTAAAAGAGCTCTAAATTACTCTTGCTTTCTCTCACGTGATACATGACGTCACATGAGCGCACGCTTAAAAAAAGGGCATGCGCAATTCAATTCTCATCCAAGTTTGTAAAAGCCAGTCTTTGATCAACGATTGCTCGAAAACCTACTGTACAACCCATGATGAAATTTTTACAGTTGATTTGTAGGGGTGAATCACATGTAGAGCCAAAATTTTTGATTTCACATTTTCTTAGTTTGCAAAAAATCTGTCTTACAGATTTTTATTTTACTTTACATGAATGTTTAATCAGAGCCAATTTCTTATTTCTGAAATTTTGAGGTGNTAACTGTTTTTTAAGTGAAATGAGCATCTCTGCTGTCTTGCATTCTCATGAAATCAACATTTACCTGTTCCTTAAGTGAAAAAAGCATCTTTGAGGTGAGACCAAGATGCTATTGTTTTTCAAGTGAAATCAACATCTTTGAGCTTTTGCGTTGACCTGAAATCAACATTTTTCCGTTTTTTGAGGTGGGGATAAAATTGTTGCTTTCAAAACTTGAAGTGAGACAAAGTTTTTTGCTTTGTTGTGGGGCAGAAACTTGTTTTGAGATTTTTTCTGGCAATTCAGAGGGAAAAATCAAAATATAACCTAAACTTTGACATGAGGCGGATATGCATACAGCCCTTCAACTGGCTTAAAGTGGAAAAGTTTGTTTTAATTGTAATCACTAAGTGTTGACTTAATGGTTGTGTTTGAATATTTCATAGTGGGTAGCTTCAATTGATTTGTCTCCTAATGAAGAGGCACATGCCAATGTTGTTGTGACCAAGACAGACTCCTGGACTGAACAGAATCAAGAGGTAACCAAGGGTTGAAAAGAGCATGCAGTAAACATTACACTGTACATGGCCCTAGAATGGTTTTCAATTGAGTGACAGAAGTAATCAGTTTGGCTTGGGTTTCGGTTTAACTATGGTTTGAGATTGGGCAAGCAGTCCAATTGTTAAGTAATTAGCTTACTTTTGGTTTTTTGACACTCAATTGAAAGCCACCCTATTTCTTTCTGAATAAGTGTTTGACTATTGTAATTTTTTTGGTTTTGATATTTTATCATGCACCTTTTTGGTTTTCTCACAGCATATCAAGTCAGCTTTGTCAATTAGGCATGGTTAATATTTTGACCAGACTCTAGCCAAAATATCCATGGTGACATGGAAAGCAAACAAGCCTGATACGCTACAGAAATACTGGTGCAGCAAATGTTATAGTCTGGTACTTATCAAGCCCAAATTTGTCTAAATCTGGCCATAATCTTTGGATATTAGGTCACTCAGTGATTTCATATTGCAGTGTAATGGCTTCTAATTAACTAATAGCAAATTTGTGAATGTAACTCTCAGTATCAGCATCATACCAAGGTTATATATCTCTGATCCACAAACCCAATAACATTAGGCTTGTGTTTAGTGAAAATGGTGTGGTAGGGGTTGGGGGATAGGAAGCCCATTTCTTTCCTAATACCCTTCTTCCTGTAAAAGTACAATCTTTTTGGAAAGCAAGTTTTACAGGGTAATATGGAAACTGCAGTATGATGTGTAATGTAATTGAGTAAAAACTAGTCAGGACTGGATATTTCCATAATGTCCACAGACAATGCATGCATGAGCTATGTACATGTATATACAGGCCTGACTGGCAAAATTTGGATGGTAAAATGTTTCTAAAAGCATACATAATATTGCCCAAGTACTTTCTGTACATTATGTACAGAAGGTAGTTGGGCAATATTCTTTAAGTGTCTCACACTTGGCCAATAAGAAGTATTTTTTGCAACTTGAAAGAAAAAAAAACCTCTCTAGAATGATAATTTCCGCGTTTGAGCAAACAATTAATAACATGCACCATGATTATTCTAATCCATCCCTCGTAATGTGCCTTCACAGATCCAGCCTAAGGTTGAGGAGCTTCTTGATGGTAACAAATTTGATGCAATAATATGTGTTGCCGGAGGATGGGCTGGTGGAAGTGCCAAAAGCAAAGGTAAACAATAGTAAATTATTAAACAACAAGCCCAAGTTTTCTATGAACGAACTTAATGAGTCATGCTAGTCAGATGGACTATTGCACACAAAAAATGAGAGAGAGTTGTGTAATTATATTTATTTCAAAGGATCAGTGGCTCATTGAAGCATTTAACAGGAAATTTTAGAAGTAATATTAATCGATGTTCTACTGGTAACATTATTATCAACTGAGGATTAGAGAGTTGATTTCATTGGTTATCAGTAACATTTAATTAATTATCAGTAACATTTAGTTTAATTTCAAGATGAATCTCAATAGATGATATTCCTGTACTGTGGCAGGTTGATAACATTTCATTTTATAATGAATGAGTTGCCAGTAATCGGATACCCATGATTGCGCGAAGAACTCTTGGATCATCAAGGGGCAAACATTGCTAGTCGCTAGAATGAAATGTATGGCGAAAAGTTGTTTCAAGGTACAAGAAAATGATTTTTGAGAGAGATGAACACTTTTTCGCCGTCATTTTTAACGCGAGTGGATTTGGGCAATGTTAATATGTGGAATATGTAAGTTTTTGTTTGAATAACTGGGAAATATGTGACAAAATCTATTGATAAACTCCGTTGCTTGTGTGAGGTTTATTGTGAAATTTACATTGCGTAATGGTCTGAAAATATTACAAAATTAAATGAGATTTTACTGACGTACATTCTGAATGAGCCGTTCATGGTGGCATCACTTTCTATAGAGCTATTGAGCAGCTATATTCCAAAGGTCAACAAACTGTAAGCGTTATTGTAGCTAATAACACCTTATTTCTTATTATAAGAAATAAGGCATTTCAGTATTCAATCAATGGCGCTGTCTTAGAAACCTGTGAATCTGAAAAGGATCTTGGTGTGTGGGTCTCGAGCGACCTTTCCTGGGACAAGCAAATCTATGAGCAATGCACCAAAGCAAATAAGCTTCTTGGCTTTGTCCGGCGGGCGTCGAAGAGTATACAATCTATGAGGACACGCC